ATTGGTCATGTATCTCGTCCATGTCCTCCCATGTGGTTTCCTCCTGTGGAAACTCTTCCCACTCGATTAGCACCTCCCAACGGTAGCGCCCTGCTTTCCTGACCTTGCGATACTCCACCGCCCGTTTTAGTCGCACTATGGTCCTTCCATCAGTCGCCGTTGCTAGTAACTCTTCGCACCACTTGTGCGCTTCCCCTAAACTTCTCTTAAGTTGCGAGACATGTATGACTGGGTGGATCTGAGAACATTCAGGTAGTTCTAAACGGTAGGCTACCTGACCGATGCGCTTCAGAATCTGATAAGGTCCATAGTAACGTACTCGTAGCTTAGTTGATGCCCTTTGAGCTGTTGTGCGTTGCCTGAACGGTCGCAGCTTCAAGTAGACATACTTTCTCGGTTCATAATTCTCCTCCCATCGCTTCCCATCTACGAAGGCTTTGGTTCGATTAATCGAGCCTTCGAGATTTTTCTTCAACTCGCGCAACATCAAGTCTTGCTCCTCCATTTCTCGACCGACCTCATCGTTGACCGTGCCCCCTTCGGAGTAGCTGATTAGCGTTGGCGGTTTACGCCCGTACACCAACTCAAAGGGAGTCATCATGGTCGACTCATGGTAGGTAGTATTGTACCAGTACTCAGCCCAGGGTAGAAAGTTTTCCCATCTCTTTGGGAATTGATGAACATAGCACCGTAGGTACTGCTCAAGGGTTTGGTTGGTTACCTCGGTTTGCCCATCGGTTTGGGGGTGATATGCTGAGCTCATGGATAGCTTGGGTCCCTACAGCTTGAAGAATTCGGACCAAAAGTTGCTAATAAAGATCATGTCTCGGTCGGAAATTATAGATCGCGGTGCTCCGTGTAACTTCATCACATATTCGACGAACAACCTGGCGATAGATTTGGCTGGGTAAGGATGTGTAATGGGTATGAAGTGAGGATACTTGGTAAGGCGATCTACCACGGCCATTACTCCGTTAAACCCATTAGAACTCGGTAGCCCCTCAATGAAGTCCATGGTGATGTCTTCCCAGATTGCCTCGGGTACTGGTAGCGGTTGCAGCAGCCCGCTTGGCCAGTGTGAATCAGCCTTAGTGCGCTGACAGTCATCGCATCGCGCGATGTAATCTCGTACTGTTCCTTGTTGTCCTGGCCAAAAGAAGGTATTGGCTATCCTCATCCATGTGTGGTAGATACCCGAGTGACCTCCAACCTTAGAATCGTGGAACTGCTGCATGATCTTCTCGCGTAGTTGTCCACTGTTGGGAACGAACACTCGGCCTCGATGTAGTAGTAGGTTGTTGTGAAGCTCATAATCAGCAATGGTTTCTCTTGTCTTGATCTTTCGGCGCGCTTCTTTGCAATAAGTATCCTGTTCTTGCATCTTACGAACTTCCTCTCAGATGGTCCACGTAGGTCCAGTGATAGCATCAAGCTCAGCCACATCTGTCCGTCGGGATAAGGCATCAGCTACAGCATTCTGTCGACTTGGCCAGTAGACTATCTCAAAGTCGAACCCCATAAGTTTCGAGACAAACTTCTGCTGTTCAGAGGTAACAATCCTTTGCTCGAGTAGATGCTTGAGTGGTTGCTGGTCGGTCACAATCCAAAAACGTCGCCCCAGTCGATAGGGCCTCCAGCATCTCACAGCCTCGACAACTGCTAGCATCTCCTTTACGTAAACAGATAAACCCAATCGAGTTGTGCCTAGTTCTTTGCTAAGATAGGCTAAGGGTCGCCCTTCCTGTACTAACACGGCACCAATCCCAATATCACTAACATCCGTGTGTACCTCGAAGGGTCGCCCTTTCCCTTTCTCTTCTTCTCCTTGGCTGGCTGAGGGGCTGGTAGAGCTGGTGGGGCTGCAAATGGCTGAGCTGTGGCGGATGGCTGGGCACGATCA